AAAAAAAAAAAAAAAAGGAAGTAGAATTTCATAAATAATTGATTTAAATTGATGTTATCCGATTTATATCAACTTCATTAAAAAAAGGAAATATCCTATTCCTACCAAATCGATTCAAAAAAAAAAAAGATTCAAATATACGTTCAAATAAATTACAATTGAATTATAGGTGGGATTGTGAAAAAAATTCAAAAAACTTTACCGAATAAAGTAATAAAACGAAAAAAAAGCGAGAAAACGAAAAAAAATAATTTGAGTTCTTTGAATATTTTTTCTTAGCCGTATTATACAGTAATAGATAATAGATTAAGCAAATCATTTAAATCATTGGCAAAAATTTTAAATCAAAATTTTCAGGATGGGCTTTTAGAACTAAAAATAAATGAATGACGGAATATTTTTTTCACATAATTTGGATGATTCTTACTCAAACAGCTGGCAACTAAATTTGGATGATTCTTAACCGAAAATATTTAAGGAAATTTATGCGATTTATTTTGAGAATTTATGCAAGAAATTAAGGAAATGATTTTCTAGTTTATTTGCAATAATCAGCCGGATCTTAGTAAACAAAATTTCACGTTTTAAAAGTTTGACATTGAAAATAGAATTCAGCCGTCCATTTTTTGAAAATTTTCAAAAATGTTACTAATTAAAGTATAATCTAAATTTTTAGGCGGGAAAAAGACATTCTATTTTCATATTTTTTCTTAACTCTATTTTATAGTAATAGATAGATTATTTTTCCATTTATAAATGTATTTATAAATAGAGATATATTCAATAATTTTAATTTTTTATTCAATATTTTATATTATTGCCTGTTAAAAATAAATAATATATAAATGAAATATAACATTAATACCTTTTTAATAGTCTTGTCAATTATGTTTATCATTTTTTTTGTAAATAAAGTCAAAACCTACCCAAAATAACTGTTATTTTAATATTGTGAAAATGCATATTATCATAACAACATTTTTTATTCGTCACGCGGTGTTATTATACGAAATACACTATTATTATAACATGTATTCACGAACGAATTAAAGTGCATTTGGTCCAACACTATTGTGCAGTGTGATAGTCACTAATGCACATCATTTTGAGTGCTATTGTGCATTCTTCAATGTGAGTTTTCTTATGTGCAAATGCAAAATGAAACAGAAACCAAAATAACTGAGTTATTCGGTTGGTTGATCTATCTAACCTAAATAATTGTACTAATTTATTATTTATATTAAAAATATATATTTAAGTTTTTAATATGTTCATTTAATATCTTTATATTACTTTTGGTTGAAAATTACATAATATATATATATATATTATTTTATAAATACATATTTGACCAATGAACTAAATTGCAATACATTAAATTCTAAAATTTACTACTAAGTCCTCGTGGCTTATAAAACTTTTAAACGATCTCCCTATGCCAAAAATTCAATTCTCGCTGTCCCACCTGATTTCTCGTCGACACTATTCCAAGTCAATCGTCTCTCGACTTTCAACTCCCCGCCGCTCCCCGCGAGATTCTCCCCCATCCTCACGTAACCCGTAGATTAATGAGTTTACGACAGTTCGAGATTCAACCCAAACTATGGAGATGATGGGGCAACACGTGCCTTCTCCATCCTCGCCTGCAACCAAGGAACCTCCGGGAAGCAGCTTGTCAGTTTTCAATGCTCGCAACCTCCTCATCCCTTCAAGATGCAACTAAGGAACTCCGGCGATATCTTGTCCGGAAATGCACGACAAGACTCGCGGCAAAGCGTGGTCGAAATTCCGACGATGTTGCAGCCTCCTCACCCTTTCACCTGAAGGCCGCGTGGATTCTGGAAAAAGTGGCCGGGGGATGTGATGACAGCAACATCGGGACTGTCGGTGGCGGGAGGTGGGAGGAGGCGAACAAACAGTGTACGTGTGTGTTGTGTGTGTGCATGAGGTGTGTAACATGTGTGCGTGTTGTGTGTGAGAGAGTATGCTCGGTGAGGTGGGGTCGGGTGGGTACTGATGGAAGATAATGGGTTTGGATAGATGGGTAGTCAGTGTGGGCCCAGTGGCATATATAAGAAAATGTCCAATTTACCCTTAATGAGGATATGAATTATGCATTTTTTTAGCAGTTGGATTATCCGATCTAATGACTACGATGCATTCTTATTTCTTCCATTGAACAATACTCATCATATTAAGAAAATCTGAGCAAATATGAAATGCCCTGAGGATTGTTTTATGGTTTGTACCTGAGCTATTCTATAAAGATGCATATTTTTGCTCATTCAAAAACATCACTGCCCACATTTTTTTTTTATTTTATCCTTTGTAAAACAATTAAAATTGCTTCAGCTAGAAAATGAAAGCAAGCAAAACCTTCATCGAAATGAAAACACAAAACATAAATCACCGCATGTTTTCTCCAGGAACACATTCAACACATGAGATAAACTCAGGGAAACTTGTTAAATGTACTTTTTTCATGAAAAGAGAAGCCCATGTATTGTTTTTCTACACCCCAACTTACTTTATGGTCTGATGTTGAACTACATCGAACAAAAGTGTCTCACCACCTGATACAGTGCATCAACAGCTCGTGTAGATGAACCGAAGCAGCCTGTCTCGTAAACAATCTTTCTCCTGGATGACGACTCTTCAGAAAATATGGACAATATCATATGCAAATCTTTGTCTCGTCAAGGAAAGGATACTGAGAAAAGAAAATCACTCCTATCCTACGAATGGGAGCATGATATGTGAAGGCAAATAAAAACATTTTAAGTATCCATAATGCCTACGAGGCATGCCATGAGGTGAAATCAAATTAGCTCCAGTAAACGGTAAATGGTTAAATTTCAAATAAGGAATAACATATTTCTCAATATAGCCTGCGTGGCAGGAAATAATTTTCTTTAGATTCAAGCACCAACATGAAGGGATGGTGGCCGAGTGAAGTTAATTTAAGATTTTGATATAAGGAAAAATATATTATCTGCATTATTGTCTAAATGGAAGCATATCTACAGAGAATAAGGATACGTCCAGAACAACACGAACGACTGCAAGAAAGTGGACAAAATTAACAAAATTAGTTATAATATTGTAGAAATAGGAGAAACATGAAAACAATTTCAATGAAGCAGATACACAAAATATAATCGTCAAAGAAAGTAAGAAACACTATAGAGCAGATAACAGCCATTAGATAATATACTGTTCCAAATCTCTAACTTCTCATAGACAGATTAATAAAATGGGGTTAAAGTAATTGCAAGGGTGAGAAAACCCGACGACTACTAATTTTCATTCAAAGCTTCTCATGCTTGATGATCCAATAAGAAAATCCTTTTCACTCTTCAGGAAACTCAGTTCTTTAGTTTCCATATAAGTCTGTTCATATAGTAGCAGCAATAACTGAAAAGCTCAATGTTCTGTCAACAGTAAAATATTTTTTTACACCATAAGGCCAACAACAACTATCCAATTAAAATTTCTAATTTAGTAGTGTAACAGTATCTGTATCATAGGAAAGAAATGACAACATTATTAAAAGCATAAGCACCACTAGAGAACAAATTAAGAAAAAAAGAAAAGAAATTGGCATGAGAAGTTTAGCTCTCACTTTTTTAAACTCCAATAACCGAGCTAAACATTGCCTAATAAGCATTGTCAATTAAATTCTTGGAGAAAACCAAAAATCCCTTTCAGATCATGCATAGAAAGAGAACTCAGACTACATGAAATACTCATAAACTGACGTGTTTCTCATATTGAGTAATTACTTGCAACTCAAACCATACAAAAGAGTGCAGTAAGCTAATGTTCAATACATGTTCAATGATTGGCAAAAAGAAAACAATTTTCAAAAAGATAAACTCATACCAGTAGTCCACCTAGAATTCCATCAAATACAATCCGATTCCAGCTATCGAAGTAAGAATGAACAGCAAACCCAGTCTTAGCAGCAAGGCCCACAGTTGTAATAGCCATGACAATGAAATAGAAGATAAACCCCGTCAAGCCCGTGAACCCCAAAATTCCCGCAACGACTCCACCAATGATAGACATAAACGTGCGGCTGAAGCACAAAGAAAAAAAAAGAAGTCTGTAACTGTTTATTCCTATTATCTATCTTTAAATTTGGAGTTCCTGCACAAAAACTCTGATTCATAAAAAACAATGGCAGATCCACGACAGACCTGTAATTAATAATTCTCGTATTGTTCTGCATATTTTCGACATTGAAAGTGGATATATCATCCAAGCCATCACTTGATTTCTTCTTGAGCATGCTCGAATCATCGTGTACCGCCATGTTACTGATTTCTCCTAATTTCTAAGAAAACTTCTGGATTTAAAACAAAAAAAAGGCCAGCATTCAAACAAACAGTGAGGCTAATGGAAAGCAGGCAAGCTCCTCAAACCCCACAATAGCATAAAATCTACACAACCCATCACTACAGACACAGAGTCACATCCAATACGATTCAAAACAATTACAACAACAACACTAATTAAACGATAGCGACAGAGAAAAATACTTCGACTGGTACTTGAAGAACAACACTGGACTAACAAATGCACACAAAATTCATATGAAATACAGAGATTAAACAGATCTATGGCGAACGAGGCAGATTTATAGCTTCAGTGAACAATAAAAACCAGAATTATGAAGAACAAATTCGCGAAAATAAATTGATTTTCTGCATAAAACGGCCTAGCTTACCAGTGATGTAGAAGGTGGAAACCAAAGAGATCGGGTTCAGTTCTCCACAATTGTTCTTCCTTCTTTGTCGAAAAGGACGAGTTGCAGAGGAATACGGGTTAGCGCACGCCTTTTGTAATCGGATATGGACTAAACCCGGAGATACTGGGCTTTCAATGTCCAGTTTAGTTTAATAGGCCTAAATGAGGAATCAAGCCCAACAGAAAATAATGAGCAAGTTAGAGATAATGACCCATTATGACATACTTATAAATCCCTCATTAAATAAAGTGGTCAAGGTTTTCCTTATTTGACATGATATTTTTTTTTTTTTTCAACGACAAAGAATTTTAACTTTGAGGTAGACTATGTTTGGTAGACCAATAAGCTAGCTTATAGCTTATTTGATTAGCTTATAAGCTCTCTGTATTTAAATAAGTTCCGTTTGGTAGGACGAACTTATTTAAAAAGCTCGAGCTTATTTGATAAGCTACTAAAAAGAAGCTTATCAAATAAGCTCGTTGAAATTTTTATTTCAGCTAGCTTATCAGCTAATTTACCAAACACTTTTATTATATAAGCTAGCTTTTCAGCTATAAGTCATAAGCTATAAGCTCAAAAATTACTAATAAGCTATAACCTAGCTTATCAGCTAGTTTTACCAAACATAGCCGTAATCTTAAAGAAAAAAAAAAAAAAAATTGGTTGAATTATTCAAAAGTGCCACAATTTTTTTCATGTGTACAAACTTATGTTTTTTTAGTACAAAATTCATGATTGAAGTGGAAAAAGTTCAGAAGTTGAACATAAGAAAGAGGAAGGTAAAAATAATTATATTTGAATGTATAATTTTTATAATTTTTAGTAACAACAAATTCTGTCTGACTTACTTCCACATTATTTAGTTGTTCAAGTTTATAATAATTTTGATACGATTGTTCAAATTCCTTTTTCGCTCAGTTTTATTAGTGAACAACTCAAATGGTATCGTTTTATGTTGATGGTTCCTTTTTATAATTATCAACATGAAAAGATGAAAAATATTACTGTGGCGCTACGGCCAATAAACTTCTACGACCAAAAAGAACAATAAATACAAAGAAGTAATGAATAATATATATATTTTTACGATTATACTTTGTTTCTTGACGTCAATTTCTCTTAATACGTCCCTTGATACATTATCATAAGTCATAATTAATTTGGCCCGCTATTTTTCTTTTTGTTTTCTCAGTTTCGCTTCTTGGGAGAGTTTTTCGCTATATTCCCATTACTTCCATTGGGAAAAAATGCACCCGGCTTGCACATGTCTCTGCTCCCGTACACAATGGCGAGAATCTTTTCGGGCTTCGGTCGAAAGCCACCGAATTAACACACATTCCCAGAGATATTTCCCTCAGCACCATAATGTGGGTGGACTAATATTCCCTCGTCTTTGTGCCCTCGTCCTCCGAGCTTGTTCCTGAGTTCCGAAATTTGTCGGGTAAAATTGGCCACCGAGTATCCATATCCTCATACTAACGTCTGGGCTTTTTCATACAACATTTGCCTTATAATCGCATCTCGACCCGATTCCACCACCAGAAACCCCGCCACCAACAACCACCAACTGTCAGAAACCAAAAAAAAAGAAAAAAAGAAAAGCATATATACATGATTAGTCAAGGAAAAAAATTAATTTTGGTCCATTTGCTTGTCTAAAGTCTTTTTTTTTTTGGTACACCAACTTTCTCATCATCTATAATAGAACGTTATATATGTTGCAATTTGTATCACTATTGGGACATTATCGCGAAAATGGTTCATTATTTTTTGGGATCAATGTCTTAAAAATAATACAAATTGCAACATAACGTATGTATTGATGAAAAAAAGTTAGTGTACCAAAAAAGGACTTTGGACAAACAAACGAACCAAAATTGAAGAATTTTCATTAGTAAGTACCAAAATCCAACAAAGATTTATGTTTTCCAATCTATATATAGTTTTACGCAATGGTTTACCTTTCTGAAAGGTTGATTAAAGAGAATGCAAGGCGCGCAGTACCCTGACATTTCCAGTTAATCCGACATAAGGGATGACGTACGATGCAATAAGATAGTTCAAGTCGTTAGCGTAAGGGTCTAATGGGGGGTCGAGTGTATTATTATTCCCTCCGAAGGCGTTGTTCATAATAGTTGCGAATGTAAGAATATGTGGCCCGAAAGTATTGGGCTCACATTTAATTATCCTATTGGGCCAGACCTTATTTAATAGTCAAACAAATCTAAGCCATTAATCTGGATATTTGATGGACGTACCAGATCTAAAGACACCCCTATATAAATTAATCCTCTCTCCTCCTATTAGGGTACGCAGTATTTTTTTCCCATCACTTTTCTGCTACATTAAGAGAAGGCCAGGAGGGAGAAACTGATTTAGAACTAACACTTAATTCAACCTTTTGTGATCATCAAGATCGAGATCACTAATTATGTCGTCTTCCGCATCAAGTAAGTATTTCGTATACATCAAATTATTTATTCAAGATCCTTGATGATGTTTACATGTGGTATCAGAGCATGTGTTGTGAATAAATAATTTGTTTGTATGAATTTTACAAGCATATTTTGTTTGTAATTAACGATGAACTGAATAAATTGATCGCATGAATTTTATGGGATTATGAATTCAATATCAATATCCAATTTGAATGTTGGTTTCGGAAATATTTATTAATTCTTTGGTCACGCGTTTTTCCGAAATAATGCCCATTGTGTATGAATTGAAATATATGTATTTTTGTTGTACGAGACATCATGTATGTATATACATATATTTGTGCATATGTTTGCATTATATGAATATTTGATGTCTTATTGTTGTAATCATAATTAGCATATCAAGATGTGTTGTATTGATTTGCTACACATGATTGGTTTATGATATGTTCGAACTGCAACATGAACAAAGTTCAAATTACTTGTCTGATTTCTGGTTCATGGTTAAGATATCAGTTGATTGTTCTTATGATTCCATGATACTTATTGTATTATATTATATGACATTAAGTATAATTTATTTGTTAGTCACCAAAGTGGCCTAATTAATTTTTAATGTTCGGTCATATAATTTTATTGTTATGAATAATTTATTATATGACATTAAGATAAAATTAATTTGTTAGTCACCAAAGTGGCCTAATTAATTTTTAATGTTCGGTCATATAATATTATTGTTGCAATTAATTGTTATATGACATTAAGATAAAATCAATTTGTTAGTCACCAAAGTGGCCGGATTGATTTTCTAATGATTGGTCATATAACTTATGTTCTTTTGAGAATGTCATTATTTAAGATAATGAGTTTATTGGTTGTTAGAAGTTATGGATTTACCCAAAGGTGAATCAATGTTCTATAACTAATAAACATTAAGGAGAAATATAATATATTTTATCGAGCATATGTAGATATCCAAAGATACTATGTATGTTAGACGAAATTTATTTAATTTCTCATTAAGTGTTAAATGACATTCGACTTATGATAATGATATATATTGTTGTGTTTACCCAAAGGAGACCTCCAATATATGTGATGAATGTATTTTCTGAATCAGTTAATTAAGTGAGCGTTTATGATTGTGCAATTCGCAAGCTTCTTCTGTTACTGTCTTCAATGGTTTGATTTCTCTTAATAGCTTGAGCAAGTCAATTCCCATTTAGGTGTTTTGGTTATTGACTTGGCTCAACTTGAAGAAGAGTCCACTGACATTAATGATCAAAATAGTGAGGCTGAGAAATCAAACCGTAAGGCTTGGGACAGGTCTAACAGATTATGTTTGAGCTTTATGCGAATGATGATTGCCAACAACATTAAGTCAACTCTTCCCGATAATGTGGATGAGTGTTTCTGTTCGCGGATAAGTCATTGGCAGGAACACTTATGGCTGAACTCACGACCATAAAGTATGATGAGTCGCGTAGTATGCAGCAACATGTTCTTGACATGACTAATCTTGCAGCAAGGCTTAAGTACTTGGGTATGACTGTGGATAACTCATTTATGGTGCAATTTATGCTTAACTCGTTGTCTCCTGAATATAGGCCTTTTCAAATTAACTATAACACTATTAAGGATAAGTGGGATGTTAATGAATTGGCCAGTAAGCTTGTTCAGTAGGAGACGAAACTTAAGGAACAAGAAGTTCATACGGTCAATCTTGTGGGTCATGAAGCTAATGATGTTCTCAAACCTAAATCCAACAAGTTTAAGAAGAAAGGACCTGCTAAAGTTTCACAGGTCATTAATGATGGAAAGAAGGTAAAATCAGGCAAATAAATGTTATTTCTGTAAGAAAGTTCACATACAGAAAGATTGCCTGAAACGCAAGTCTTGGTTTGAAAAGAAAGGTATTTGTAATACCTTTGTATGTTTCAAATCAAACTTGTATGAGGTTCCTTCAAATACTTGATGGCTGGATTGTGATGCTACAATTCATGTTTCTAATGTGATGCATGGATTTCTTACAATCCAAAGCATAAACCCAAATGAGAACTTTTGTTTATGAGGAACCGTATGAAGGCCCCAATTGAAGGTATAGGGACTTATCGTATTGTTTTAGAT